TTTGTGGTCAAGTGACTTTTTCACAGGGTGGCATATCAGATATGAAGTAACAAAAAAAAAATAATTTTATGCTTGGAGGTTACAGCATGAGGAATTGTATTAAAATGTTTCATTAGGAAGATTGACAGTCACTGCTTTAGGGAACAGGGGCATCTAATAGATTCCTCTGTATGGCAGGGGACCAAGTAATGCTGGAAATAAACTAATCAAAGAATGGACAGACATAATATAGTCCATTAACTCAGCTCAACTCAGTCCTTATCCCTGTTCTGAACTGGAACAAGCACTCTGGTATGGATGCCCCCAGGTTCTCCAGTTCTGAAATCTCCACTATTAGTAGGAGGCACAAGAGCCCCAGTGCGTTTCTTTCCTTCCAGCACTCTTGGCTGCACTACTTTGAGTAACTACCACTTGCGTAAGTAACCGTGAGCTCTCAGCTGCGAGCACTTGGCAGCTGGTGGACTCCTGCTCTATTTTCTGAGTTCTACTTCTTTAAGGGTGACACAAAGCTCCTGATGTGGGTGGGTCGAGGCTGTTGGGAGGCTGAGATGAAAGTTAGCACAGCACAGATTTTTTTCAGTGAGGAATTTGAAAGGGAGGGGCAGAAAGTCAGACTGTGAAGACCAGGTCCAAGGTAGTCTCCATGGAGTAGTACTCCAATGCATCCCCTTTTCTGTCAGCTAGGCCAAGCCAAGTGCACCCCAGCAGTGACGTCCAGCCATAGGCAACATAACTCTCTTCAACTCAGGCCGTCCTCAGAAACAGCTGTTGCCAGACAGTCTATGCTGTGGAAGCCTTAGGTTTTCTCTTCCAAAAGACAGGTGGTGGGCTTCTGTGGCACACAAGCACTCCTTCTATCGAATATCACAGTACAGCTACCACTTCCCTGCAAGAATCTTGAGCTTCTTTCCACCAGGACATATGACAACTCTCATTGTCCCGTTATTACTCAGAATCTTATTTCCAGAGCTGGGCACACAGCCTGGCACCCAGTAGGGATGCAATAATGCCCGCAGAATAAATGCACCATTAAACACTGAACATCAGCATAAAAACACAGATAAAATCACACACAATTAAAGAGGAATTGTCCCCAGATGAGTTCAGTATGGTTTTGAAAGGAGGAACAAACAAAACTGACTGTGGCATTTGAAAAGAGCAATTAACAGGAGCCAAGGTGCATACCTTTTCTGAGTTTGGTCATGAGTAAAACCCTATACCCCTGCAAACTTAATCAGAAAATACAAAGATGGAGCCTAGCAAGCTGGGAAGAAGAGGAGGGACAGACACACATGTTTTCTGCTTTCCCAGTTCTGCCAAATGATCTCTTTCTAGTGTCATTATTGAACCACATAAATACATTTTCATCTTGATAAGGGAGCATCTGAGGGGTCACTATGTCATCCTCATGCTTTGCCAAGTACTTTGTTCAATTAGCAATGAGCTATGAAGCCCTCAGGAGGAGCAGGCAGTGACCGCAGTAGAGAAGGAATCTACTCTCTGTCACAAGAGAGATAGAGATAGAGAGAGAAAAAAAATAGTAGGAATAACCCATGATTAATGAGAACACTGTGATTTAAAGTCACAGAGTGTTGGTCCACCCTCCAAACAGCTAAGAGAAGAGGCAGAGAGATTTTAAAAATAGAAGCCAGAGTGCAACTCAAGAAAGAATATAACTAAGAAAAAAAAAAAAGACATTAATTTCTCTCGCATTGGAGTTGGCCATGGTGTGTATAAACTTTAAAAAGCAGGTAAGGTTAAGGAAAACTTTCAGGCAGGTGCTATTAGAAGAGTCCAATTCTATGCTAATATGATGTTTCTCTCATGTGCACCACTCAAATGTACACATCAGACTCATGACCTGACCTTAGACAGTCTCATATACTTTGAAGTAATGATGATAGCTCAAAATACTTCTAAGAAGAGCATCTGGGGAAATGGCTCAGTGGATAAGAACACCTGCTCTATAAGCATGAGGACTTAAGTTCAAATCCTCAGCATCAAAATAAAAAGACAGGCATAAATGCATATACCTGTACTTCAGCATTGAGGGGATTAGCGATTGCTGGCCAGATATCCTAACAGAAACAGCAAGCTTCAGGAAACAAAACAAAACAAAACAAAACAAAAACCAAAGTTTTCTTAAGGCAGTAAAGTGGAAAATGATAAAAGAAAACAAAAACATCCATTGTCCTGCTGTGAACGTCACTACTGCATGCACAGGAATGCCTATCTGCACACTCATGTATATATATCTCATACATGTATGAAAATAATAAACCAGATTGGAAGAACAATGTTACAAATCCATCCTTACATACATACATGCTTAAAATAATAATCCACGGTACTAGTGGCAGCAAGAGTCAAAAAGCATTTCAAACACTCCATAATCAATAGCCTTTACTATTGTCTCCCAGGAGTTCTCAGCAATCAAAGCATCATTTGCTTAAAAAGAAGAAAGAAGGAAGAAGAAAAAGAAGAAAAGAAGAGAAGAAGAAAAAAGAAGAGGAGAAGGATGATGAGAAGGAAGAGGAGAAGAAGGAGGAGGAGAAGGGGAAGAAGAAGGAAAAGAAAAAGAAGAAGCATGCTAAATGCACATCTGTACATAAACATATCAATATGTGGGAACTAAAATGGGAGAATCAAGTTGGGAGGAAGGAAGGGAATGAGGGAGAGAATACAGAAAGATACAGTAAAAATCAAAGGCCATTTGAAGGGTAGTGTGGAAACCCAAGATAGTAGAAGCTTCCTAAAATATATGAATCTAACTATTAGGGTAGACAGAACTCCAACTAGCCATCTTTTGTCACCAAATGAAGCTTGCAGTATCAGGAATTGGTTACATTTAATTGAGTTGTTGACCAAAGGTGTCTCATGGGAACCCCCAAACAACCCAGGCTGTTGTCTAGACCTATAGGCTGCGCTCCACAAACTGACAGCTAGACTCTACTAAATACTTACATAACTCATTGAACATGGAGAAGTTGAGCTGGTGCTTATACAGAGCCTTCACCCCAACAGACTAGTGTATTTAGTACAGTAAGGTACTCCACATACTACCTAATGAGAAATGTAAACACCAACCCAGCTATAAACGCTTCAGTTAAGAATGGTGGACTGTTTTGAAATAATGCTACTGAAATGGTGGCACAACGCTTGTGGGAATAACCAACCTAATTTATGTTTAATTTGATTTAAGGTCTCACCCATGAGACTGAACCCATAGCTGATGCTGCTTGGGTATCTACGAACCTGAGACTAGATAGGCCAGGGACTGAGGGTAAAATTAAATAGTACTGTTCTACTAAGAGAAAAACGCATTAAAGTGACTCCTGCTGACATTCTGCTACTCATTGATCAGTGCCTTACTCAGCCATCATTTGAGAAGCTTCCTCCTGTAGCAGAAGGGAACAAAAATATGTATATAGAGAGACCAACAATGACACAAAATGCAGAGAATGAGAGACTTGGGAACACTCATCCCTAAATGGGATGTCTCTATCCAATTCCATCCCTCAGGGCTCAGAGAACACTGCAGAAGAGGACGGGAAAAGAATATAAGAGCCCGAGGGGAGGGACGGAGGACAAAGGGAAACAACACCCTCTAAATCAACAAGATGGACTCACATATGAGTTCAGAGACCAGGGCAGCATGCGCAGGATCTAGAACAGATGAAGTGGACACATGCTCTGCCCATAATCCAGAAGGTACTTCTGATGGATAACTACTCGCAAATGTAAACTTTGTTTTCTCCAAGGGAGTCTCACTGGGGAAACAAACTACTCCTAAGGGTGGGCTGCATGCCGAGCACTAGACGGCCAACAGAAAACAAACTCAATGGAGGTTCCTTTTCTCTTAATATTGTATCAGGCTTTGATTTGTTCATTAGTGTGTTTTTATCTTTTTAATTTTACTTTATTTACTATGGCTTCCAGTTTTGTCTTTTTATGGAATTCCTGAGTTTGTGAACAATTGGGTCTCTGCATCTGTATCGGTACTTTATGTAGTTCCTGGGCTCTTTTCTTTTTGTATGTTTGTATAGCCCTATTCTAATGTGTTAGTTTTTGTTTTATCTTATTGTACTATATTTTATTTTAATATTGTCCCTTAGAAGCCTGTTTTTCAGTCAAAGACAAAAAGTGGGGTGGATCTGGATAGAAGGGCAGATGCGAAAAACTGTAATCAGGACACATTATATAAGAAAAAAATCTGTTCTCAATAAAAGGAAAAGGAAAATTTAAAAATATACATATGAAAAAAGGTATATCTACACTTTGTCATGTAATAAAAATAAATATAGTTGATTATTTGCTGACTATGAAGTTTCATTAACTGGGTTTTCCTATGAACATGTATCCAATCTCTTCAGTTCCTAAAGAAATACAAATTTCAGTTTTACTTTAACTTTTTGCTTGTTTGTTTTGTTTTGCTTTTCAAAACAGGGTTTGTATGTATAGCCTTGGCTATCCTGGAACTCACTCTGTAGACCAGGCTGGCCTCACACTGACAGAGATCGACCTATCTCTGCCTCCTGAGTGCAGGGATTAAAGGCGTGTGCGGCCACCATCTGGCTACTTTAACTTTTTTGAAATTACAGTAGAGTTGACTTTTACATTTGTGATTTCTAATTGATATTATCCTTAAGCTCATGTCCGTTCTCAGATGTAAGGCTGGGGTATGGCTCAGTGGTAGCATGCTTGCCTGGCTCATGCAGGGCTCTAAGTTAACCCCTAGGACCACATTGAAAACAAGCACTGGGTGAGAAGATGCCTCATTGAGTTATCCTGAGTTAACTCCTGCCATTCAAGGAGGAAGGAGAGCACTGACCCTCAAACTTTGTACTGACCTTCACATGTACAGCAATGCATGTACATCTGTGGACACATTCACGCGCATGCGTACACACACACACACACACACACACACACACACACACACCCTGATAATAAATAAAATAGATTTAAAAAGTCATCACGGTTATCTTATTAACTCCTACCTTTGAACTTATGGAACACGGCCCACAGCTCTGCAATGTCAGTTGCAAAGGTAATGTCAGTGTCTAGGACAATGACTCTCTCAAGGTTGGCAGGTAGAGTCTTGGTCAGTACCAGCTTCATCAGGCCATAAATCCCAGAGTAATGTTTGTTGGGGATCCAGGATACTTCAGACTGGGCAGGACAGAACAGAGAGTAAGAGAGAGAGAGAGTGAGTTGGTAAAATAAGAAAAGGAAAAAAGAATCACCACATGGATTCTTTGTTTAAACATTATAAACCATGCTGAGACAGAAATAAAATCCAATACATAACTGTTAAATAAATTAAAGATTTGTTCATTGGGTTTTAATACATCTGGTTCTTTTGGGAATAAAAATGTATTTAGATCCAGATAGGCCTAAAATACTAATTGTAAAGTAATCATTAAATGCAAATTCTATGTTGAGAGTTTGAAAACAAGCTTTATTTCTATTAGAGAAATTACATGGGCCCATGTAAGTAGGTGGAAAAAAATGAATTTAAAAATGTAGTACCTCACTGTTCATAGGTAAAATTATTTCTATAATTCCTTAAACTTATGTGCCATCAAAGATCACTATACCTCATGGTATTTTTTACTGTTTACACTTATCTCTATTTTAAAGTTATAGTGAGCTAAGTGGTTATCAGTGCCTTCTCAAGGAAATGATGACCTGATCAGCATCTGTGTAATGCTGGTCATCTGATAGTAATGGAAGACAGACCTACATCAATTACCTCAGGGCTGCAGGGCTCACATGACAGAAAAAACAAACAAACAACAACAAAAAACAGTCAGGGTCTCATAGGTAAGTAACAGCTGCAAGGCACACACTTTCATAAAACTTGCTATCAAAACCCTGGGCCCAAAACTATACAAAAAAAAACTATAAAAAAAAATCCTCATCTATGTAGGTCATTTATGAAGATCACTGTGGAAGGAAAGGTATGGAGCATGTGTGTGGAGGGGTTCCATGTAACCTATGTCCCACATTTTAACTTCAACAGATTAACACCTTCTAATGAAGATGGAGCCGCCACCTTAGAATTCCAGACAATATTCATCTCCTTTGTCTTTATAGCTCCATTTAGAAGATGCTGATCTTTAAGAAAGTATGTAAGAGTTGGGTGTGGTTAACTCTCACATATAATCATAGAACCTGGAGGCAGAGACATGAAGACTGCTGAGAGATTAAGGTTAGTGTGGCCTCCTAGGTGAGAGCCGTATCTCATTGCCACTCTAGTCACAATAGCTAGAAAATTTAAACAACCTAAATGGCCTTTAATTGACAGATGGATAATGAAAATGTGGTATAGATACATCATGAAATTATATTCAGATGTAAAGAAAAATGAAATTACAAAATTGATAGGTTAAATAGAGCTAGAAAAACATATACTAAATAAGTCACCCAAACCCAGAACAACAAATGTCGCATGTTCTTAGACATCATAGGGTCCTAGCTCCAAGTCTTCAGTGGTAGGTGTATTACCACTACAGAAAGCAGGGTCATAAAAAGAAACCAGGTTGTGAGGATACGGGGCCATGGAAAGGACTCCAATTAGGGAGGTCAGTGCAGAAGGAAAAGGAGGGTAATACAACAGTAAGAATGTCTAAAAGGAGTCATAATGTATACAAGTCTATGTATATTTCATATGCATACATAGTTTAAATGAAATTTTTTTTTCTGGTCTGACAATGCTCCCTCCCAGATCCATAGACTATCTTAACAAAAAACCAACACCAGGTATGAGAGGATCCCATTTGGCGCACTGAAGAAACTCCCCAAACATTATGGGCTGCTTTTGCTGTTGTTGTTCTTGATTGTTCCTCAGGGATGAACGTAAGTACGTATTGCTGAAGACACCACACGCTTTAGACACAGAACCAGGAGTATCTGAGCTGGATCTAATCTGAAAGCATCTTCCCATAGGTCTAATTTTTAATTGCATCAAAAGGTACCATACAAACTTCCAAGGGACAGAAGCAACCAATAGTCCTATCTAGTTACAGCACCTCTGAATTACAACAGTGACCGCCATGGCACAATACCCAAGGAGTGCAACAGCGCCATGAGTACCCATCTCACAGGGACGAAGACTCTGCTCAGACTCTGTCACCTTGAACACAGGAGCGCAGGACTGGGCTCTGTTGACACAGAGGGTATTTAATTTAATCTGTCTGAGCCTAGGCTCCTTTTTCTGTAAAATGGAGATGGTTCCAGACGCTTGTCAAAATTGAAGGAGATAACGGGTGGATTATAGTGACAGAGCACTTGTCTAGTATGCAGGAGCCTAAAATAAACAAACAAATAAGTAAAGGGACTCAAATTAGTTTCTGGCACACAAAAGATGCACAGCAATTATGAGCTTTTGCCCTTCTTCCTGATTCATTTCCCTCAGACCAGTACTTACAGAGCTATGCCTCGTGCGTGTGTGTGTGTGTGTGTGTGTGTGTGTGTGTGCACCTGTGCATGTGTGTGTGTTGTGGGGTGGTGTTAACATACATTCATCTCTGTGGAAGGCAGAGGTCCACCTCAGGTGTCATTCTTCAGGCAACATCTACCTTCTTTTTTGTGGCAGGAATTCTTACTTAACCTGGAATTTCCCGATTGCATGAGGCTGGCTTGTCAGTGAACCCAGGGATCTACCTTCCCTCTACGTCCTCAGCACTAAGACTGCAACGAAGCACCAAGAGATCAGCGTTTTAGGATGTGGGTTCTGGGCATCTATCCCAGGGTCAAGTGGTTCGAAAGGAAACACTTTAGCAACTGAGCTGCCCAACCTTATGTCTCTGCACATGCATTGTGTCACGGGTCACGAAGCACCTAACACAGGTGTATATAAGTACGTACACCCTGGAGCTGCGCAGTCAGCTAAACCCCCTTTCAAGATTTATTACCATTATCTAACTGCTTTTCATGGATTCTCTAAACTTCCATCATGGATAAAATACACTTCCTACTAAACACTGACTTCATGGGTAGAAACAAACACCACACCAAACTGAGAACTTGAAGGACAAATCTACAGTCAAAAGGACTAGTGCTTGCAATGTTGGCAGAATTAAAGGCAGTCATTGCTACTTGGGAGAGGACAAGGAAGGGGAGAGTTAGTTACCCCCTTGTGATGTGCAGTGCCAGGCTGGCAGCTGCTAGGATCCAGAAAAGGTTGCTAGGCTGCCTAAATCCAATTGAGGGGAAGAGCATACCTGTGGCAAATCATAGGGCTGGATCTGGGACACCCATCTCATTCTTTTTCTCCTCTAGTCCTCCAGTTACTTGGTAGGCCTCCCTCAGGAAGAAAACAGTAGGTAAATAAAGCAGAGAAGGAGAAAGTATCAGAAGGACCTGGAGGGGCATGTCTAATACATTGAGCATAGCCACTGTGTTAACGGCGTCAGAAATTAAACACTGGTCAGAGGAAAGCATATCACCTTTTAGATCACAGGGGCAAAATGCAAAGCTAAGTCAGGTGAATGGAGAACAGGAGGACAGTGGCCATCCACCATGCCCAACCCCACTCCACACAGCCATGATGCAAACCTACAGTTAGAATCTTCCCAGCTAGGTATCATCTTAAGATCTGAGGTCTCAGCAAGCCATTCCCTCCAATGTGCCTTACAAAAATCTTCTTCTCCCTGATGGGGGGGGGGCGGTGTATAGCTTTGCCAGGCCACAGAGGAAGACAATGCAACCAGTCCTGATGAGACCTGATAGTCTAGGGTCAAATAGAAGGGGAGGACAAGCTCCCTATCGGTGGAGTAGGGGAGGGGCATGAGAGGAGAAGAGGGAGGGAGGGTGGGATTGGGAGGAGATGAGGGAGGGGGACACAGCTTGGATACAAATTGAATAAATTGTAATAAATGATACTAATAAATGAAATAAAATAAAACCTTCCTCATATAAGCCCTGACCTTTGGAACTTAGCTCCATTTCTTTCCTCCCCAGAGACTCTGCCTGAACTGAAGCCTGGCAGTCAGAACTCCATGCTGCATAGCTGTGCTGTTTAACCAGGCCTTTGATTAACTTATCCATCTATTTTGGTAACTATCAAAGCAGGAGAGCTTGGAGAAGACTGAGAACCAGAGTGTTGGGTTAAGCCATCTCATTAGATTGCCCTGACTCTCCGTTCTATTTTTAACATAGATGTGAGACACTTGGATGCATCACAAAACTGTGAGACCACGGGAATAAATTAATCTCCACATGAGCCCGGGCCTGAACGTCGCCCCAAGTGCCCAATTTAACTCATAATCAATTAAGTCCGAGTGTTCAACTGGAGGTAAAGAAGGCATATGAATGAGTTTGTATTTAGAAAACAAAAACACAGAAAAGGAGAGAAAAATGAAGGAATCCTTGGGGAAAAGAATGTGAGGTAGGTGAAGCAGAGACATATATTAATAAGCTCATTTCAGAACTTGCATGGCTCTACTGCTCTCCCCACCCCCCCTTTGTACTTTTCCTTCCTTGAAAGCCACTGTCATCTAGGAAGCACCTCCTCTCTGCCTCAGGCTCCTGAAGATAGCTACCTCATTCCCCCATGCACAGCACTCTAACACATTGTGTTTAATTTCCCATGTCTGCCTCTTGCATTTCACTGAAATTCCCTGAGGCTGAGAAAAATGTCTTTTTTCACTCTGTAATATCCCACATGATCAATGCTCAAGAATAGCTTGATGAATGTGAATAACCTTAGTTTTGCCTATGTCTGGCTTCATGGTCTCTAGATAGAGAAAGGAGATCAACCCTATGGAACCACTCATCCCAAAGTATCCAACAGAGACAGGAACGCCTGCCAGAGCCACACCCCACAGTGGTTAATATGCTAAAGGGTCCACATAATTAAAAAGATAATAAAGATTAAGTTAACCTCAGTGTAATGGACAGAATAATATTTCTATGGTGGCTGTTAATAATTCTAAGCAGCATGACTGAGGCTTTAATTAGCAACCGTGCAATTTTGCCCAAGATTACAATCTATTACACATCCATAAGAGAGCAGAAGTAATCAGAGATTTCAGGTTCCTTCTCAAGTGGGAGAGAGAGAACAATGGCAGCTGAAACTCACCTTGTAGAAGCTCTGACATTATGTTACTCATTGGAACTAAAAAGAGTTTCCAGAAAGCTCTGTAGCTGACTCCTGGGTATACTAA